GGTGGGAAGAGAAATGGGGCATTTTTATACTATGAAATAATAGAATCCCAGACTGGTTTGGGTTAGAAGGGACCTTAAAGATTATCTAGATCCAAACCCCTGCCATGGGCAGGTATACCTCCCAGCAGCCCAGGTTGCTCCAAGCCCCATCCAACCTGCCCTTCAACACTGCCAGGGATGGGGCAGCCACAGCTTCCCTGGGCACCCTGGGCCAGGCTCTCACCACTCTCACACCAAAGAATTTCCTCTTCATGTCTCATCTAAATATCAGCATAAAACCATTTCCCCTTGTCCTCTCCCTCCCTGCCCTTGTCCCAAGTCCCTCCCCAGCTTTCCTGGAGCCCCTTCAGGCACTGGAAGCTGCTCTAAGGTCTCCCTGGAGCCTTCTCTTCTCCAGGCTGAACACCCCAACTCTCCCAGCCTGTCTCCAGAGCAGAGCTGCTCCAGCCCTTGGATCAGCTCCATGGCCTCCTCTGGACTAAATACAGTTTTGGCAAATCTGAATACTTCTTTTTTTGCTGACCACTGATCTGGTTTTGGATGGGAAGTGGACCCAAGGGGTTCACATTGTTTTGGTACAGGTGGTGTAGTGAGGGCTTCAAGATGTGACCACTACCAAATCCCTTTGCAAGTGATGATTGTGCAGAGACCTTGTCTGTCTTCACATGCTTGTTGGTACCTCATTGCATCAGAAATAGGTGATGACATCATTGCAGCTTTCACTTCTTAATCTACTTTCTATGCTGCCAATTTTAGTTTTGAATTTATATTATTAGGGATATAAAAACCTGGTAGCTTTTTGTCTTGCATAAATGCATGAGTGGCAGGGTAACTAGTCAAGCTCTCTAACTGCCTGAAGTGGGGGCTTTTTCCTCTCTAGGCCGTTGATTAAAGTAATCTGAGACTTTCACAAGTTAAATGGTGTATAAACTGTCACACAGGCTGCAAAGTGATTATGAAAACAAAGCTATGACTAGAAATTCTGCCTGCTTCCAGAAAGGTCAGGAAATGGAGACCACTGTGAATATTAAGAGTGTTTCTGTATCTTTGTTCAACTGTACAGTGTACTTGACAATCAAATGATCTGTTCTTTGAAAGCCATATTACTTTTATTTAGGTTCTTTAGTTTTAAGGAGTTAGCTGTGAAATAGTTGACCTTAACCAGGTAAAAGGAGTAAGATGCCTTTTTGTGGGGTGCAGAGTGTGTTGGTTTTTATTCCTGTGCTGTCTCTGCAGCACAAGGAGCTGTGGGATCTGCTGGTCACATGCAATCTAGTAAAGTGTTTGCTGCTGTTCATTTTCTTTTATTCAGGATAAGTTTAAGTTGCTGGTCTGAAGGGTCTTAAGTCAGTGCCCCACTGGTGTGGCAGCTGGGGAACAGCAGCAGGCTGCACTTGCTGTTATTGTGGGCTAGAAAGTTATAATGGGAGCACAGTAAACAGTTTATTCTAGAAAGTCTTTATTTAACTCAAAATAGTTGATCTCTGTGCTGGTTCTATTAGTGGCTAAAAGCAATATCAGTATGTCAAGAGTCTAATTTTAGTGAGGCTTTTCCATCCCAAGTCTGTGGCTCAATCATCCTTCCTCTCTTTCCTCTTAGCATCAGTCCAGTTCATCAGTCCTGGTTTGTCCCTTCTCTTTTGGGCTCAGAATGACTTCTCATTGTTACCTCTGCACAGACCTTGGGCTGTGGCTCAGAACTCAACTCCAAAGAAACAGTTACTCACCTTGGGCAGTACTCATTTTCTCCAAATGGCTCATTGGTGACCTCAATGTGAGGAGCTCTTCTATCTGAATTAGGTCCTAGCCCGAGATTATGCAGCTTCAGTCTGAATCAGCTGAAACTTTGAAGTCTGAGAAGTTAAGGGGGATTTGGAGCTTTGTGGGCTGGGGATCTCCCTGGGGAATAACATGTAGATTGATCCCTAACTACTCTGAAAATGGAGGGTACATTCTCAATCTATCTTTCATTTTCCCTGTTCCATACTGCCTGATGAAGCAAGTTAAAGCATGACATTTTGATTTGTTACCCTCGTGGGTCACTTCCTGAATTACTGTGGTTACACAAAGCCATTTGTGCTCTCCAGAACACAGTTTATGATGTCCTGCCAAGCTGGCAGCATCCTGAATTCATGATGGAGGTATGGTCTCTTTTGCAGGGGGGCACCTCTGCAGTCCTTAATTCTAAAGTCTAAACCAGCCCTTTTCTTTGGCAAAGGCTTTTAGGGCACTGGAAACATGAGATGCTGGTGGTGCCGTGGGTGCTGGGTGCAGACAGAGGCAAACAACTCCCTGTTGCTGTAGGTAGCTCACCTGTGCACATCCAGAGGTGTCCTGAGTTGTTGATCACAACAGCAGTCTGGTAGAAGTTTTAAAGTTACAGATCTTGGATATGTTTAATTTCTCTTCCCATCAGCTGGGGTTTTTTTTTGTCTCCTCTTAAAGAAGCCAGCCTGGCTGGGATGTGCTGCTGCCTGCAGGCACAACTAATGGCTATACTGGGGGGGGAAGCTGTCAGCAATGTTGAAGAGGTCTCTGATTTTTTTCTTTTTCAGGATGCATTGCAAAAGTTAACGGAAATATTAAACTTAAGTGGAGCTGCTGCCTGCCAGGATGCTTGTCACCCTGCCAGACACCGGAACACCACGGCAGTGCTGGGCTGCTTGGCAGAGAAGTTGGCAGGTAAAGAAAGGCCTGGGGCTCTGCTGGGAGTGTGGCTCACTGAAGCTTGTGTGTGGCTCACTGAAGCACCTTCTGCTTTAGCACCTGAGGTGCAGACTAGTTCAGAAATGTTTCCTTACAACTGGAGAGTGTCCTGTATCGTGGAATGATGCAGAGAATGGCTAGAGAGAGCCCGGAGCAGGAGGACCTGGGGATGGTGGCAGGTGAGAAGCTTAACATGAGCTGCCAGTGTGTGCTGGAGCCCAGAAAGCCAGTCATGGTCTGGGCTGCATCAAAGAGGCAGAGGCAGCAGGGTCAGGGAGAGGTGCTGCACCTCTGCTCTGGTGAGACCCCACCTGGAGTGCTGTGTCTGGAGCCCTCGGCACAGGAGAGACATGGAGCTGCTGGAGAGGGTCCCAAGGAGGCCATGAGAATGATCCTAGAGGTGGAGCTCTGCTCTGGAGACAGGCTGGGAGAGCTGGGGGGTTCAGCCTGGAGAAGAGAAGGCTCCAGGGAGACCTTAGAGCAGCTTCCAGTGCCTGAAGGGGCTCCAGGAAAGCTGGGGAGGGGCTTGGGACAAGGGCAGGGAGGGAGAGGACAAGGGGGGATGGATTGAAAGAGGGAGATTTAGGTGGGACATGAGGAGGCAATTCTTTGGTGTGAGGGTGGTGAGACAGAGGAACAGATTGCCCAGGGAGGTTGTGATGCCCCATCCCTGGAGGTGTTCACGGCCAGGTTGGATGGGGCTTGTGCAGCTTCATCTGGTGGGAGGTGTCCGTGCTTGTGGCAGGGAGGTTGGAACCTGAAGATCTTTAAGGTACCTTCCGACCCAAACCATTCTGTGATTCCCTGGAGAGGCCTCGTGTGACCAGCTCTGCTGCTTAATTGAGCTGTTGAACAGTCACTACCTTGGGTCTGAATGTGCCCTTCCCTGTCCCAAGCACTTACAAAGATCACATCTTTCTGATGCCAGGCTATGGATTGTGAGTCAGGGTGTGTTTGTGGTTTGTAGCACTGATAATCAGTCTTATCTGCAGACCTGTCCTGGCTGTGTGGGAATTATTGGGAGCAAGTTGTTCTTTAGCCAGTAGGCAGGAGTACCAAACTGGTCATATTGGAGGCTGTAGAGAAACAAAAATCAACATGTATTTCCAATAAACATGTATTGTCCTATTGTAGCTGGTAGGAAAGATTCTTTCTTCTGAGTTACTTAAAAGAAAATTGCTGAGATTCTATTTTAAAGTGACTTTTTGTATAGAATGTGTTAGTCCCTGTCATTTCTGGAAGCTGATGATTCAGTTTCCTTCCTGCTGGTTGTCAGGTTTCTGTCTATTTTTTTTGCTCCTTTTCTGAAAATGGACAGGAAGGATTGTCCAGTATCACCTAATGGTTTTGACTTTTTTTTCATATTTCTGTCAAAAAAAAGAGGAAAGAACAAGGGCAGGAAGCATTTTTGTATTGTAACACTTCTACCCTGTTGCACCAAATCCAAATGAGAATCCTGTGTCTTTGTGGATGTGGGGCAGATCTCATGGAATCAGCTCAAGCAGCAAATCAGTTCATGCTGTGCTGGAACCCTTTGCATTTGTTAGAGTCCACAGACAGCAGAGGGTGGTTCCCCTGGTGAGGCAGGCAGTGTTGCAGGGCATTATTTTTTCAGTTGGCTGCTGCAGTTTGTGTCACTCACTATCCACTCACCTATATTAGATGCTCAGCTTTGCTGCTTTTGGGCTACTGATAACTGGAGTTGGTCTTTATACTTTGACTCTGGAAGTAAAGAGGAGCAGTCTCCTTTTGAAAGCACCAAGCCAGGGTGGTGCTAAGCAGAGATTTGGAGTTCCTGCAAAGTATCAGAAGTGTGGCTGAAACTGTAGCCATTTCAGCAGGTGAACTGAATAACATTAGTCATTTGGCAGTAACTGTAATTATTAAATGTGTAGCAAATACTTGGCTGGAAACAATGATAATGGTTCTATTTTCTAGTTCTTAGGTATTCTTTAATTTGTTGCCTTTGTGTAAAAGTTGCCTGTGATCACAGAATCAATGTCAGGGGTTGGAAGGGACCTCCAAGATCATAAAATCCAACCCCCCTGCCAGAGCAGGACCAAAACCAGGGCAGGTCACTCAGAAAGGCATCCAGACAGGGCTGGAAAGGCTCCAGAGAAGGAGACTCCACCACCTCTCTGGGCAGCCTGTCCCAGGGCTCTGTCACCCTCACAGCAAAAAAGTTCTTCCTCATGTTGAGGTGGAACTTCCTGGGCTCCAGTTTGAATCCATGGCCCCTCGTCCTGTCCCAGGGCACAAGTGACAAGAGCTTGTCCTGCCTTTTTGCTGCCCTCATGTATTGAGAGACATTCATTAGATCCCCCCTCAGTCTTCTCCTCTCCAGACTGAACAGCCCCAGGTCTCTCAGGTGTTCCAGTCCCTTCATCATCCTCAGAGCTTCCATTGGACTCTCTCCAGCAAATCCCTGTCCCTCTGGAACTGAGGAGCCCAGAACTGGACACAACACTCCAAGTGAAGTCTCACCAGGGCTGAGTAGAGGGGGAGGAGAACTTCCCTAGACCTGCTGGACACGCTCCTGATGTACCCCAGGATTCCCTTGGCCTTCTTGGCCACAAGGGCACATTGTTGTCCCATGGTAACTCCTTGTCCATCAGGACTCCAAGGTCCTTCTCCACAGAGCTGCTCTCTAGCAGATCACCTCCTAACCTGTCCTGGTGCATTTGGTTGTTCCTTCCCAGGTGCAGGACTCTGCACTTGCTCTTGTTGAACCTCATGAGGTTCCTCTTTGCCCAGCTCTCCTGCCTGTGATGATCAGTAGGTGGTAGTTCCTATGGATGGATTTAATTTTTTGTCTTCTTGTAGGTCCTGCAAGTATAGGCTTGCTAAGCCCAGGGATCTTGGAATATTTACTGCACAGCTTGGTAAGTGTCTTTAGTCTTTGCATCTATGCACAGCCATTATAATGCAATTTGTTTTCATTGTTACTGTTCTTGTGAAAAGTTAGGGTCATCTTTGGTAAACACTGGCAAAGTATGTTACAGAAAGTTGAGATTCCAGGGAGCCCGTGGGATCTCCATCCTTGGAGATAATCAGAAGTCAGTAGGACAAGGTGATCTACTCAAACCAGGCCTCAACAGAAGGGTGGGTGGGATGAGCTCTGGAGCTCCCTTTCCACCTAAGGCATTCTGTGACAGAGAAGCAGCTTTTCTGATCACCTCTGCTGGGTGTTTCTTCAATAACTTTTCTTACTGCCCATGTTTAGAACTTCCAGTCCCACCCGACAGTGATGCTCTTTGCACTAATAGCCCTGGAGAAGTTTGCACAAACAAGTAAGTATTAGCCTGAAACTGCCCTTATCAGCCTTGCTGTGGCTCCTGCTGCCTGAGTGTCATCTCCTCCACCTGCTCACACCTGGGAGCATAAGATTGGGGTGGTGGGAACACTGATGTCCATTTGTAGGCAAGAAGCAATATTTGTTCTTTCACTGACACCCCTCAAAAGCCTTCAGATATTTGCTGGAACTCAGTTAGGAATTGCTACAGGACTTCTGACATGAGGTCCTTGTCACAGAGATAGGCCTGGATTAGAGATGGGGGGCAGCTCTGATGGGGAGCAGCTCTGATGGAGTATTTGCAGACAGGGAAAAGAAACATGCATTGCTTCACTGACACCAGACCCACAAACCCTGAAAGATTCACTGAAACTCCCTCCTCAGCCTAGAAATTGCTACATAAAGTTTTATGGCATGAGACCTTTGTTACTTGGAAAGAAACTGATCTGCATTAGAAGAGCTGGAGAACAGCCATGATCCCATGGATCTGATGGTGCAACTCCATGCTGGGAAGTGGCAACCCAAGATTGGCATCTCCAGTCCCAGTCCATGTCATGTCTGCCTGGGGCAAGAGTTTTCTGCTGTTTGTAACATTAAGGTTTGCATTGGTCAGATGTTACTGGTTTTATCTCAACTTATGGCTGGTTCATAGCAAGTCATCTTATTTTTTTTTTGCTCTTAAATTGCAGGTGAAAATAAAATGACTGTTTCTGAGACGTGCATTAGTGACCAACTGATCTTGCTAGAGAAGTGGACAGATAACCCAGACTATTTAAAACGCCAGGTTGGATTCTGTGCCCAGTGGAGCTTAGACAATCTGTGTAGGTATAATGAAGGGATGGATTAATTTCATATTAATTTTTATTATTACTAATTAGTACCTTAATAATTTCATTTCTCCTCAGAGATGGGAGAGTACTTTGTGTTTGTTTTGATTGTTATTTTATTGTAAATATATCTGACTGCTTTTGTAATCACTCTTCTTAAAAAAAGGGGAGGGGGGAAATAAATCCAGTGTCATTACATGGAAGGGGAGTTTTGTCAAGGAAAATGGTTGTGAAAGGAAGTGATTTGTGCTCTGGGAGCTGGAGCTGCAGGGAACAGTCTCCTTTGCACCATGTTCCCTGTGACTCTCACTCCAGCTGGCATGCTGAGGAGCTCAGGGCAGCTCTGTCCCTGGGTGGAACAGCTGGATTGCTGACACCCTGGGGATGGTCACCACTGTGAGCAAAACCCAGCAGTGCACAGGCTCAGAGAATCAGTAGGACTTTTAAGAGTAAAGATATGGTCTTGTGAGCAAAAGTGAGAAGACTTCGACCAAGCACTTTACTAGCTCTGTCCTTCTGGGCAACCGACAATGATCAAATCCATTTTAGTTGTGATTTCAAAGAATCATAGAATAGTTGAGGTTGGAAGGGACCCTAAAGATCAGCAGGTTCCAACCTCCCTGCCATGAGCAGGGACACCTCCCACCAGATGAGGCTGCACAAGCCCCATCCAACCTGCCCTTCAGCACTTAGAGGGATGGAGCAGCCACAGCCTCCCTGGCCAACCTGTTCCAGTGCCTTCCTACCCTCATGGTGAAGAATTTCTTCCTGATGTCCAACCTAAATCCTCCCCTCTTTCAGTTTAAAACAATCACCACTTGTCCTATCACTGCCCTCTCTAGTGAAAAGCCCCTTCCCAGCTTTCCTGGAGCCCCTCCATGTACTGGAAGGTGCTCTGAGGTCTCCCTGGAGCCTTCTTTCCTCCAGGCTGAACACCCCAACTCTCAGCCTGTCATTTTGAGAGTGAAGCAACTCTAAGGACCTTGTTGCTGATGCTAGTAAGATAAATTTGGGGAACAGCTCTTGTCAGGCTTGATGGAGCTTTAGCCAGCTTATGGAAGGCCAATGCCATTTGTGGTCAGTAAATATCTGTGTAAGTGTTGTAGCAAGTTTGGGTTGTATGGAGGGGCCTGAGATAAGATCTCTGAGCAGTAGCTGAATGTGTCTGTGTCAGCAACCCAGCAGGAGAAATGCTGCTGAGCCTTCCATGTCTAAAGAGGATGCAGGGAGAAAGAGCTGCTCTGGTTCAGTTCAAGCTCAACCTCTGCCTGAAAATGAGAGGGTAAAAAAACTTTGAAATCCTTGTTTTTCCCTTCCCCTTCTTCCCCAGTCCCAACATCTTTTCCACTGTGGTGGATCAGAAAAACTCTGCCAGCTGAAAATACAATAGTACACCCTGAAGCAGTGGATCCTGGTTTGAGCTGGGATGCCTTGTGGGTTTCCTGAAGGTAGTAACTGGATTGTAGGGGTTCTGCCCAGAGGTGCAGGTCACCTTGGCAGGTTCACAAGGTGTTTAACAAGCAGAGTATTGGAAGTGATGCTGTTTGCATACAGGCAAAGCAGCAGTCATGGAATCCCAGACTGGTTTCTGTTGGAAGGGACCTTAAAGATCATCTAGATCCAACCCCCTGCATGGGCAGGGACACCTCCCACCAGACCAAGTTGATAACTGGGTCGTGGAGAGTTTGATTGTCACTGTGTGAAATGTTTGAAAGAAGGTTTTCCTGCAGCAATGACAAAAACTAATTTTCTTTTGCAGTTTTAAAAGAAGGGAGGCAGTTCACATATGAGAAGGTTGACTTGACCAACATTAGGGCTATGCTGAACAGCAACGATGTCAGCGAATACCTGAAGATCTCACCCCATGGGTTAGAGGTAGGATGTCATTTGGAGATTTCAACCTAAAAAAGGAGGCTGAAGAAAAAGGCAGATTTTAACTATTTCTGTTGGCTGCTTGCTCCTGGGACTTCCTAGAACAAATCCAAGTTCTCTCCCAGCTTTGTATAGAGAGCTTGCTTTGTCAGAGGGTTTTACCATCACTGCACTGATCTCAGTTGTACAAGTGTTCACAGTGAAGTCACAGTTCCACCTGTGCCCCATAACATCAGAAAAGTGAGGATGATGCTTAAGAGTCAGCTGGTTTTTCACTCACTTGGACTAAAATTGTTCACAGAGTATAATCATTGCTTACCCTATTTCCCCATGACAAGCCCACAGCAGTAGGATTTTTCTCACCCGTGTTTTTATTTCTTCCTTTATTACTTTTTAGAAAAATTTCTTAGACTAGAGATGAATTTTCATGAATTAATATTTAATCCCTCTCTGTCCTCCACACGATCAATCAGCTAATGATCAATGACTTTAGTCTTCCTGCCTTGGTTGTCTTAGTCTTTAAATCTTTACATTGATGCTGTCAACTCTCTACTTTTTCCTTTTTCCCCCCTTCTGGCTGAACAATTTTCAGCCTCCTGGCTACTTGATGTGACAGTTACTGCTATAAAGAGAGCTCACTTTCTGTCTGAAATGCCCCTAAAATGTTGCTGCTGTCTTAGACACCAGAAACATGACCCAGGGGGACAAAGGGGTTTGTTTGGATGCTGATGTTGCAGATGATTCACTTCTGGGTTGGTTTTGGCAGGCTCGATGTGATGCCTCCTCCTTTGAGAGCGTCAGGTGCACGTTCTGTGTGGACTCTGGGGTCTGGTACTATGAAGTGACTGTCATTACCTCAGGAGTGATGCAGATAGGCTGGGCCACCAAAGACAGCAAGTTTCTCAATCATGTGAGTACCTGTAATGTCAGCTTATGGTGGGATTTCAGTGCTTTTGTCTTTGCAACACCAAGGAAAATAGCTCTGTTTGCTCTGTGGTTATAACACTGAGCACTTCAGTGTTTCCTCCAGCTTTCCTGTACTTCCCTGAACCTGTTTTTGTTGCATTTAGTGGGACAAGAAGGGCTGTGTTGTCAGTGCTGCAGCCTGACTGTTCACACAAGCAGAGCAGCTGGCAGTGACAGCTTGGAAGCTGCTGCTGTCTGGGAGCTGCAGGGCTTATGTCTTGTGGCTTGGTCTTTTCTTGGAGGTTCTTCAGGTGACACCAGGGGGTACTGCCTGGTTTTGTGAAGTAAACAATTGCTCCCCAGGAGCCAGCAGATTTTCATGCACTCATTTTTACACTGGTCACCAAATAGCCATTTGATTGCCCTCTTTAACTTACTTTTCTATTAAATTAACTTTCACAAGGGGAAATAATTCCTTACATTGGCTCAGGCATAGTGTGGTATTGTTGGCTCTGCTGGTAGCAGCAATGTGCTGCAGTTAGGGTATGTGAATGCTTTTTTAAAATTATTTAAAAAGAAGGGTTACAAAAAGATTAAACCTTCTGTATTATAAAGTACATTATTATTTTGTAGTTTAATTTGCTCTCCCTCTCATCCATATAACTTTTTTCATTTTTAATTTTAAGTATTCTTCTTCCTACTATTTCATAGAATAATATCATACAATCCCAAGACTGGTTTGGGTTGGAAGGGATCTTAAAGATCATCCAGTCCCACCCCCTGCATGGGCAGGGACACCTCCCACCAGCCCAGGCTGCTCCAAGCCCCATCCAACCTGCCCTTCAACACTGCCAGGGATGGGGCAGCCACAGCTTCTCTGGGCAACCTGGGCCAGGCTCTCACCACCCTCACACCAAACAATTTCCTCCTCATGTCTCCCCTCAATCTCCCTCTTCCAGTTTTAATGTTACTTTACTGTAAAAATGTTGTACTTCCTAGTGTTAAAGCAAAATGTGCCGGGTGCATGTGAAGTTCAAACCTCTAGCCAAAGAATAATCTCTAATGTCAGCAGAGGTGTAACTGGGACCTCTCTCTCCTTAAATCTTCATGGTGACTCTGCTCAACTCAGTGTGCTGGAGCATGTTGGCTTCAGTATTTCCATAACACTAAGAAAGGGTCATGATTGCCACCCAAAAAACCTGTCTGCTTGGGCTCAGAGAGGACTTTCTATATCACCATCCTCCCAAGTGTCCATTCAAGGTGATTAAAGCACAAGGTAGAATTTTAGTACAGGAGCTGTGTATGGCCCAGCCTGCTGCCAGTGAAAATACAGCCCTGGGGCTGGAGGTTGACACTTCTACTGGCTGGGTTTGAGAAGGAAAAGTACCCTTAGCCCTACTTCATTGTTGTAATTGCATGGTTTTCTGTTCCTACTAGGAATTTAATTTAGGAGACAAATCATATCCATATATTAAACGTAGAGATAAGCAGTTAAAACTGCTCAGTTAAGATTATTATAGAAAAAGTCATTCTGCAGCTGATTCAAATGGAGAAGCTAATCTGAAGATAGGCCAAACACATGAGAGTAGATGCTGATGGTGGGGGGATGAAAGAAATACAGCAGGGGGGTGAAACAAACATCAGTGGCAGGAAACCCAGAAGGAATGAGAGGAGCAGCTTTTCTCACCATTTTAAGTCTTCCTGGGAGCTCCGTGGTCTGGCTTAATTTCTTCTAATTATTCATGTAAATAACATTGTCCTCTGCTGGTGGAGAACAGGCACATGTCTCTGCATCACATCCCACCAGTCCCACGTTTCTAAGGTGGGATTGCAACTGTGATTTAAATTTAAAAAACCCAAATCAGGAAAACCTAACAATGCAAAAGAAAACAACCACAACCAAACAGAAATACCCTCCAGACCTGTCATGAGCTCTGGAGACACTGAGTATAATGGAAACTGTTGACAATAAAAGGCCCCACGTCTGCTTTTGGACTGCTAAGAAGCTTAAAAGATTTTTGCCACTTGCAGTTAAGGAGCTTGGGCTAAATGCATTTTTCTGTCTGTGCTTCTTGTGCAAGGTATGAAAAGAGGAGCTGTCACATCTCTGAGCAGGATGATTTTCTGCTGCTACAGCTCTTCTGCTGGTGGCTAGTGCTGCTGTTCTTGAAGTTAATCAGGTGTCTGCCTGAAATGCAAGGGTATGATCTGCTGGGTATGGCACAGACACAGTCCTCAGAGTAGCCATATGCTCTTTATTTACAGCATATGTAACTAAAAGCCTAGTCCTCAAGATGCCATTAAACACCCATTAGCTGGGCTTAGCTGCAGTGTGGGACATCAGAGCTTGTGGAATCAGACACTGTCTGGTGTTGCCTCTTCAGACAAGCCCTGCTGAGCACAGGAAGTTTATCTTCTCTGATGCTTTTGGGTTTCATGCTTGGGCTCTCCTACATGACAAGTCCTTCTCACACTCTGAAACCTGCATTTCTGTGTTTATCTTGGACCTTGGGACTATTGCTTGGTAACCTGTTCACAAAGTGAGGGAGGCTGGCATGGAAAGGTACACAATATGCTACAAATTAGCAAAGGGACTATGGGTTTGTTCTCTTTCTCTGCACTCCGTGTTCTGTTGGTGCTTGGATATCTTGCCAGGGAAGTTATTCCAACTCTGGTGCTGGGGTTTGGAGATAAGAGAGTGATTACACTTCTGTGTTGACTTTTAAGATGCAAAACATTAATTATTTGGGTACAAGCTTCTGATTTAAGTAGTTCCATAGACAAGAGTGACTTGAGCTCATGGGGAATAAAAAACACTTTGGAGACAATAGAATCATGGAATCCCAGACTGGTTTGGGTTGGAAGGGGCCTTAAAGAACATCAGGTCCCAATCCCCTGCCATGGGCAGGGACACCTCCCACCAGCCCAGGCTGCTCCAAGCCCCATCCAACCTGCCCTTCAACACTGCCAGGGATGGGGCAGCCACAGCTTCCCTGGGCACCCTGAATAGCCCCTTCCCTCCTCACGCCAACAAATTCCTTTCAATGGGAACATGAAACCAAGGCTAGGGTTTTCATGGGCGTGGGAGCAACCCTTTCTGCTTTTGGCTGGATGGTTTAGTTGACTAGCAATCAGCTGGGGCTTGGGAGTGAGGAATGGGTGCAGACTGGAATGCTTTGCTCTCCTCCTGAAGGAAGGTTACGGCATCGGGGACGACGAGTACTCCTGTGCGTACGACGGCTGCCGGCAGCTCATCTGGTACAATGCCAGAAGTAAACCACATTCCCACCCCTGCTGGAAAGAAGGTATTCCCTCCCTCTTCTGCTGGGTATCCTAGTGGGGTTTTCTGCACACCATTTATTTTTTTTTTGCCTCTTTGCAAGTGTCTAGAAACCAGTTCATTACAGGTGTGAACAGAGCAGTGACTGCCCTAATCCTGATTTAATAATTATCCCACTCTAATAATTATTGTGCCTTTACTGGTCTTTGCAGTGGTGGAAATGCCTGAAGTGGGTACCAGGCTCTTGTTCCACAATCTGTGTAAACAGAATCTTGTTGGTTAAATGCTTTTTCTTTTCTCAGGCAGGGTACTAATCATTGCACCAACCAACATGCTGGACACTTAGACTTTTCTCCAGATACTTGAAGTTCTACAAAACAGGGTTTAAACAACCCTTTCTGGGCTGAAAAAGTTCTTTTAGAGAGCAGAATAAATTTTGGTCTCTGAATTAGACTTTTTTTTTTTTTTAAGGAGAAGTTGCACTGTCTTGCTTACTTTGAATTCTTGGATAACTATTTGGACAGCAAAGTTCTGTTCTTGATCTCAGCTTCAAAACCTTGGCAGTCTGGGCATGCCAGGGTTGTGTGAATGGTGCCACCTTCTCTTCCAGTAAAAACTTCTCCCAAGGGTGGCTAAATTAAACACTTCTTACAAATAAATAGCACAAGCAATATTAGAAACTTAGACCCTAGCAAGTGTGTGTCCTGAGCTCTTCAGTGGGTGTAAAATAGCCAAGGGGAGACAAAGTTCAACTTCTTTTCTGGCTTTGGCAAATCCCCTGCAATACTTATACAGCTGTGTAGTACTAATGCTCTGAAAGAATGAATTACTTAAATTTGCTATTTTCTCCTATTTTTGTTTTCTTTTGTCTGTCTTTATCAGTATTGCTTCCTTTTATGCTTTTGCAAACAGTTCCTTTTAAGCCAGGCAACTCACACTGAGATATGTGATACTTACAACAGTGTTTCAGCTCTTGGCATTTGACAGAAGTTACATCTTTAAATTATCTTTTGGTTTTTTTATGTAAGGAGACACAATAGGATTTCTACTAGATTTGCAAGAAAAGCAAATGATCTTCTATTTAAATGGAAACCAGCTTCCTGCTGAGAAGCAAGTCTTTTCATCTGCTGTGTAAGTATGTGCTTATTTGGAAGGACAGTGACCTGTAGGGGTTTTAATTATATGAAGTGTTTTTTTAAATTATATTGTATTTTTAATTATATGAAGTGTTTCCCGTTTGAGATGGAAATGTATATTTGTTTGCCTGAAACCATCATTAAGCAGGTTTCCCAGCTGAAATCAGTGGGGAGGATTCAATTTTATAGGTGGATTTCAGGGTCCCAGATAAATACTTTGCACCTTCCACTGGTAGGTTCACCTCGATGTGTTCTCCTGTCAAGCTAGCACAGCACTGAAATGGAGGAACTAATATTGAAACAGAGGAACAAATTCCTTGTAGTGCTTGAGGAATTTTTGCTCTTTTAAAAAATAAAGCCCCAGTCCTGTGAATAAAGGGGGGGTATTAACTTGCTGCTGGTCACTGGGGCCAGTTCCTGTAGTTGTTGAGTAGGCATGGGAAGACACCTCTTGGGAGCCTTGCAGAAAGGTGCTAGTTTAATTTTGCCAACTCTGTTAAAATTAACACATGGGAAACTCCTCTGACCCTCATGGAGGGGTTCAGCCTTTTAGTTCTTAAAAGATAAGCAGGCAGGATGCTTGAGAAAGAAGCTTCCTGTGCTGCTTAATTAAACAGTACTTTGTAAGTCATAATATTACAGTGCTAAGAACTTCATTCATGGTTTCTCCACAAAATGAAGGTGCAAGCATAGAGTAGCCCAAAGAGCTGCAGAGTATCTTGTCTGTGCAACTGGCAGTGCTCTGTTCTGCAGGCAGAGCGTGGCATCTGGGCACCCAACAGCTTCTGTTCCTGGCTTAGAACTTGGGGTGTTGCCCAACTTGGGCCCTTCCAGTAAATAATCCTGGAAGAGGTGATGCTTGTGGTGTGTTTACAAGGTGGCTGTGAAGAAGTGACAGCTGTCCTGAGGTGATGCTGCAGGACAAGGAGGAACAGCTGGGTGTTGTGCTGAGGGCTCAGAGCTGCCTTCCCGGGTCCCACACCCCACGTGTCCGAGTGTCTCCCCAGATTTGTGCCTGCTCAAAGAAAGCAGGAGAAGGGGTAGCCATGGAGGTGGCCCCTGCAGTTGATGTTGCTCCTCACAACTCCAAAAAACAGCAGTACACTTCTCAGTGTGAAGAGGATCAGGTGTGTAGCTGCTCTTAGTCAGCAGCCCTTAGCGTCTGGCCCCGTCGGAAATTCCCGCAAACCCCGAGAGTGAACAAAGACGTTGAGAAAGACACAAGGAAAGTAAGTGCAGCTGAAACAGGGAGTGTCAGAGGCTCTTCCCCCAGCTGGTATAGAACACTTCTGAAGGGACTTGTCTCTTTGTTTCAGGCTATGTTTTTGTCTGGTAATAGTTGTGAAACTTGTCAAGAATTTTCCTTTCTTTACTGAAGCTCTTTTCAGTCATTCTAACACATCCTTGTTCATCCTTTTGCAGATCTGGCTTTTTTGCTGCAGCTAGTTTCATGTCCTATCAACAATGTGAGTTCAACTTTGGGGCAAAACCTTTCAAGTACCCACCACCAATGAAGTTTAATACCTTTAATGATTATGCCTTTCTGACAGCAGAAGAGAAAATCATTCTGCCCAGGTAATCTTCCTCCTAGTTTGTGTCTGTCCAGAGAAATTAAATGCTTCCCTCTGAGTTGCAGAGTTGTTTTTTATGGGGTCACACCTCCATAGGTCTCTTCAGCAAAGGATTAGACCATGTGCTCAGTGGAACTTTATCAGTAGGGCAGGAGATAAACAGCCAAAATGCATTACATTAAAATATTTTCATAATATAAAATTAAATTAAAATTTAGTGTCGTACTGCACAGTCAACTGTTTTTAGTAGGATTGCCTCCTGCCCTCTAAGAATGATTAGGTTGGTTGAGGAGCTATAGTCTTAATTAAAAAAAGAAGTTTTATTTAAAATTGACCTAATTTGGGATTTTGGCAGTGTGGAGTCACTGAATGACTTGAAGCTGTCCTTTTTATCCCATCTGTGGAGGATAGAACTAACAAAGGTTCATCAATGTCCATGTGCCTTCCCACCTAAATGTAAATCAAGCCAGATAGAAACAAGTTGGGATACATTTTTCCTTAACTTACCAAGCTTCTGGCAGGCATGAAAACCAACAGCTTTTCTGGTTTAGGTCATTAGTAATAAAACAATGTACTGGAACACAAGCAGTGTAATCTGGGATATCCTGTAGCCCAGATTTGCAGCTGTGTTTGAAGATGGCCCTTGGAGCAGAGCTGATGTATGTGGTTGAAATAATCTTTTGTTGCTCCTAATTGAGGAGACTGGGGTACCTCTGGCTATAATAAAACTTAGACACTGGTTTTGAATGATCTAGTTGTTGGATCAAGTGTACCTCAGGTACTTAAGTATCTTAGTGTTCAAAAAGAAAGGAAAAAAACAACCAAACCTTACTGTGAGTCACAGGCTGGCAAGTTTGAGGCTTGTGACATTGTCTTTATGCAGAGAAAATCAGGAGAATTTGGTAGTGCCATGTAGCCAGGGTGATAACATCTGCTGGTGGCTGCAGGAGCTCTAAGTGAGAGTCTGGTTTAACCCCTTCAGGTGGTCTGGTGGTGGTCACCCCCTCTCCAAAGTGGGTGCTCTCCTGTCTCATCGTGGCCATGTGCTAGAGGAGGGGTTTGCAGCTGCTGATCCAATGTCACTCTGGCACTGCTCTTGCAATATTGAAGCATTAGCTGTGAGAGCTGTTACCTGATTGTGCCAAAAGGTGCACAGAGAAACTGGGGGGAACTGGTTTCCTGGTGATGCCTGACTGGAGGAACGTGGTGTGTTCCAGCCTGGTTCATACAAGATTGCACTACAAGCCTGGGCTCAGTGTCCACACAGATCATCCCTGCCCTGCAGCCTGGCCTGCTGGGAAACAAAGCCAGTCCTAAGCTAAGATAGCTTTGATCTTAAAAGTGAAAGGGAAACAAAGGCAAGAGCCTGAGTGGATCCTAATTATCCACCACAAGCTCCTGTAGAGTTATGCTGAGTTTGTTGTGTGGGGCACAGTCTGGGCTAGACATGTCACCCTGAGTGTGTGTGTTCCAAACCTGGAATGTCCTCTTTAATCAAACAGGAGATTTTCATCCATTTACTCTCTTGAGGCAGTTGCCATAGTGTTGGTTTTATCTTCCAGGCTGTTGGTCTTATTTTCCATTTCTATTCTTTAACATTGTTACAACATCATAGAGTTTCTGAATGCTTTTGATAGGTGGGTTTGGGTGGTTTATTTGCGTTTTGCTTAACTCTTAAAATCCCATAGATATTAAAGAACATTTTTTTGAGGTGTTCAGCTGTGGGAACTGGAACAATTGTTGTCTGACTCCCTCTTTGTCCTGTTCTGACAGACCAGAATAGGGAGTTAAGACTATTCTGAACATCTCGGAGTGTGTGAAGCCTTTTTGGTGGGGAGTTGTGATGTTTCTCAGCAGTAGTGTTGAGGAGCATAGGCAGGAGTAGCACTGGCCTAGGTGCAGGGCTGAGCACAGGTGGGAACCCATCCCTTGGGGTCAGACTGACACGTGTGTGTGTCTCTCTCTGCAGACACAGGCGCCTGGCTCTGCTGAAGCAAGTGAGCATCCGGGAGAACTGCTGCACACTCTGCTGTGATGAGGTAGCAGACACAGAGCTCAGGCCATGTGGACACAGGTAAAACCTTAAGAACAACCCCAAAACATATGCAAGAAACTGGAACACATTTCTGCGTGGCCAGCAGGTCAAGGCAGGTGATTTTCCCTCTTTATGTGGCTCTTGTGAGACCCCACCTGGAGAACTGGGTCCAGTTCTGGACCCCCAACACAAGAAGGACATGGAGCTTCTGGAGAGAGTCCAGAGGAGGCCACAGAGATGATCCTTGGGCTGGAGCAGCTCTGCTCTGGAGCCAGGCTGGGAGAGTTGGGGTGTTCAGCCTGGAGAAGAGAAGGCTCCAGGGAGACCTCAGAGCAGCTTCCAGTGAAGGGGCTCCAGGAAAGCTGGGGAGGGATTTGGGACAAGGGCAGGGAGGGAGAGGACAAGGGGGAAGGGATGAAAACTGGAAGAGGGGAGATCTAGGTGAGACATGAGGAGGAAATTGTTTGGTGTGAGGGTGGTGAGAGCCTGGCCCAGGTTGCCCAGGGAAGCTGTGGCTGCCCCATCCCTGGCAGTGTTGAAGGGCAGGTTGGATGGGGCTTGGAACAGCCTGGGCTGGTGGGAGGTGTCCCTGCTCATGGGGGGTGGGACTGGATGATCTTTAATGTCCCTTCCAACCCAAACCAGCCTGGGATTCAATGAAAATAATGCTTAGTGACATGATTTTAGCACCAAATAGGTAGATGAGGTTATGTTTGGGGGTTAGGTTATGGTTGGACTTGATGATCTTCAGGGTCCCTTCCAACCAGGATGGTTCTATGATTCTGTGAAAACACGTGTCCTTGACATTCAGCTCAGGGGGGCAGATGCAGTCCCTGCTTTTCTTGACTGGTTCCCCAGCATACAGGCAGTAACCCCTCAGTTTCAGCATGTGACAGAGGGTAACCACACTAGTCCCACCGTTCCCCTTACCCCAGCCCTGAGAAGATTCAGTCCCTCACTCTGTGTCTGTTGGGGGCAGGGGAGCTGCTGTGGCTGCCAAGTCCTGATTTCCTCTCATCAGAGGTTTCACTGACAGGTACCTGCTTAGTGCTGGGGCTGTGAAATCTGGGTCATATGAGGAGAGAAAAAGATGCATTATATACTCAAATACTCATTAAATGTTCAAGAAATGGATTGTCTCAAGCCACAAGTCTCATTTTTTTTCATCTAAAAGCTAAAAATGGGACAGCAGGATGAGTAATGCCATAATTACACCTTCCTGCAGTTAAACAGCCTCCTATGAAATGAATCCAGTTAAATCCAGTTCCTTAGTGGTTTTAGAGCACTTGTGGAAGCAGCCTTGCCACGGGTCTTCTGTCTGGGTGCTGCAAAGATGGGCAGAGACATGCCCAGTGTGCCACAGCATGAAGTGGAGAAGGCTTCAGGCTGGGCCCTGGGGCTGGTGTTCAGAGAAGTACTAAGGTGACCCAAAGCAGGCAGGTGTGACCTCAGCCAGCTGCACCTGCAGGTTTGGATCTGGAAGATGCTGAGCAGCAGAAGCTCCTCCCAAAACCTGGGCATCCACAGCACCTGCAGTTCCTGATCTCCCCATAGAAAGCCTTCTCTTGACTGTTTCTAGCAGGCTAACTAAACTGCTTAGTGCTTGGGTTTTGTTTCTTTCTGTGTTTCACGCTGTTAAATTCAAGCTTTCATTGATTTTTCTTCCTCTTCAGTGACCTGTGCATGGAGTGTGCCTTGCAGCTGGAGACCTGCCCCTTGTGTCGACAGGAAATACAAACCCGGGTCAGACAGATCTCTCACATTTCATGACACACGTGGAGAGACACCACAGACTTTTTTGTGGAGAACTCCAAGCCATGCTGAAAGGGGAAAGCATCTCTACCCAACCTGAACGCACATGGAACCACAGCCAGATGTCCTGCTCAGCTGCACATCTGTTCCTCTTCCTAAAGGAGTCTTCAATAAGCTCTTCCAAGCTGGCAGCCATGGGAGCTGGTTTCAGCAGTGAGGAGAGCTGGGAGAGCTCAGCGTGCTCCTGGCTATTGGTTCCTGCAGGCAAGACCAGAGGAGAGTTTCTCTCTCCTTCCCCTTTTCCTTCTCCCCTGTTGCAAGTGCTGAAAAAATTTGCACTGGAAGGACCACGTACAATGCATTTGAAAAGTGAAAATGTCTGCTTAACCAGGGCTGTTCTGTCTCCTGCTCAAAAGTCTCTATTTTTGGTCAGGGCTAAAAAGAGAATGCCAATGTTTTCCTGTTAAATGTAGCTCCTGCTGGTCAGAGACTGTGTTTTCCAACAGTGGATGTTAAAACACGGGCCGAGTTGAAAAGCCCCTGTGGAGACTGTAGAGAAACTCACGTTTTAATAACTTGGTGATTCCAAAGAATGTTCTGATTTTGTTTTTAAACGTTAAAAGATGGGTGGTATTTTCAAGTACATGAGGTTTCTGATGCTTTTAACTTCAGTACCCACATTTTTTTGTGAGGCTATAATTTTCAGGAAGTCTTCTTAACTAATGATAACGCTGGACTGGAATTAATTTGATATTCTGGGTATTTTTTAAGGTATCATTGAACTTCTTTTTTAATCAGTGTTGCTTCAGAAAGTTATGTTCACTTAGGAAATGTTGAGCTATCTTAAAAGATTGGAGGAGAATTTGGGGCCAGTTTATTTAAAGAAACTTTATTTGGATAGCAACTTCAGTCTTCTTCTGTAACTCTTGAAAAAAGCACCTTGCTTGCCACGTGTCACTCCTGCTCCAGGCAGGTTTGGGGCCACACTTCATGTTTTTTGGTAGGGATCACACAGTGGGAATCTCTGCTCCAGTTTAATCACACATTTGTGACCCACTTTTGTTAAGGATGCAGTTCAGCATTTTTTTACTAGGTTCCTCCAAGGGTTCACAGCTGGTGTCAGTGAAGTAGCACAAGGGTGTGTGCAGTGATGCTGATTTTGGAATGACTCTTCCAAGACATGCACAGGTTGCTTTTTTCCCAGTTATCTGCCTAATAATTTCCTCATTGACACACAACTTGCACCAAACCCATCCCACTTCTTGGCAGTGATCCCACAGCAGAGGCTGCTGTACTGACTTCTCAAGCTGTGATGCATCTGATTTTAAAAATCATTCCTTACCTTGATTGTGCTGAGGCTGCTTCTCCCTGCTGAGCTCTCCTGCTCCCTGCTGACCCACCCCGGGGCTGAGAGCTCTGCACAGGTCACACCACCGAGCTCTCTAGCACCTCCTTTCACCTTCTGCCTTTGCTAACTCGAGGGTGCTGGGTTTCATCCAGAGATATTTTTTTTATTATTATTATTTTTTTAAGGAAAAAAAGTTTCCATTGGCCCTCTGGAGAACAATGTGTGAATTAGGAAAATTCTGTCCATCGTTTTCTTGTTGACTTTTTTCCAAATACAGACCGAGTCCACAACTGGAGAGCTGCTCAGGCTTTTTGCTACAATGTGAATTCTCTTCCACCTTGGATGCCTGTTTGGCTCAAGTCAAGCAAACCTGCACCACCCTGCACCTCCTCCCTGACTGGGCTTTGCCAGTCAGGGCTGAGTCCCTCCCTGCTGGGTGAGCCAACATGCACACACACCATCACTGCCACTGGGATCTTACAATTTCAGAATCACTTGAAGTTTTAAATGCTTCCACATACAATGATCGGGCTTAATCCCTGAGGTCCAGAGACACTGTAGGGAAGAGGTGGGACAGAAACATTTTTGAACTCTGCCTTAATAAGTCACTTCAGGGCTTTGGTTTCTTTCCCCAGCCAGAATTAACTGAGGTAAAATTTTCAGAAGTGCCTGGGACTCCTGATCTGTAGCAAGGATGAGATGAAGCTCTTAGGGCCTGGGTCCACAAAGGCTTCCAGGAGTCTCCTGGCCCCTTGACACGGGGGTGACCTTCCTGCCCGTGTGGGCAGGGGACTGAACGCCTGTGTTCTGTTGGAAACATGTGAATGCTTTGGAAAATTTTGCCCCAGACAGTCTTCCATGCAGCTCGGTGCTGGGGAGGGGAAGGCAAGGGTGCTGGAGGAGGGAGCTGTGGAGCAGAGCCCTGTCCTGTTCATTTCACAAAGGAAAGACCCTACGACTCACCTGCCTTCC